GGTTACAGCTGACGGAGAGATCCCAGATCAGGAGATCACGGGGTGTGCCAGCTGCAAGGCAAATCCCATGACCAGTCAGAGAGCCTGGACAGGTCTCTGGGATGGCAGGGATCCCTGGCCAAAATTCCATGCCTTCCATTGAGCTGGAGTCAGCTTTGATGAGCAGAACAGCCCTGTCTGGCTGGCAAATGTCTGCCAGTGACCCACAATGCTTTTGTTGTCTCCAGAGCAGCGTCCTGCCTCATTGAGTCGTTACCTTCTCCTTGCATCCCTGATCCACGATAGGGCAGTGATGAAACATTTGTTTTGTAAGAGTATTCAAATTCTCCAAGCTGCTTACAGACATTCAAAAGTGAATGAGATGAAATTTCCTGAAGAGGAGAGTCTGTGGGTGCTGCTCCAAGTGTGGTGGCAATTCCACTCAAACCCTTTCCAGATCTGATTCATGAGTTTTTCTCCTTGATAGAGTTCAGGTTCATTACTTACTGACTGCACTGCTGGGCACTCCTTTTTGGATGTGACCCCTGCATGGGCTCTGCTGCCTGTCCGGGATGAGTGAGGGATGTGAGGAGTGACAGCTCAGCCCCGGCAGCGCCGCTTCCCCGGAGCACGGATGGACACCAGGGCATGGACAGATCTTAGAGCATGGACGGACCCCAGACAGACCCTGGAGCTCAGACAGACCCCAGAGCCCAGACAGACCCCAGAGCTCAGACAGACCCCAGAGCCTGGACAGACCCCAGAGCCTGGATAGACCCCAGAGCCCAGACAGACCCCAGAGCTCAGACAGACCCCAGAGCCTGGATAGACCCCAGAGCTCAGACAGACCCCAGAGCCCAGACAGACCCCAGAGCTCAGACAGACCCCAGAGCTCAGACAGACCCCAGAGCCTGGATAGACCCCAGAGCTCAGACAGACCCCGGAGCTCAGACAGACCCCAGAGCCTGGATAGACCCCAGAGCTCAGACAGACCCCGGAGCTCAGACAGACCCCAGAGCCTGGATAGACCCCAGAGCTCAGACAGACCCCAGAGCTCAGACAGACCCCAGAGCCCGGACAGACCCCAGAGCCTGGATAGACCCCAGAGCTCAGACAGACCCCAGAGCCCGGACAGACCCCAGAGCCCGGACAGACCCCAGAGCCTGGATAGACCCCAGAGCTCAGACAGACCCCAGAGCCCGGACAGACCCCAGAGCCCGGACAGACCCCAGAGCTCAGACAGACCCCAGGGCTCAGACAGACCCCAGAGCCTGGACAGACCCTGGAGCATGGACAGACCCCAGAGCCTGGACAGACCCAAGAGCCTGGACAGACCCCAGAGTGTGGACAGACCCCAGAGCTCAGACGGACCCCAGAGCCCAGACAGACCCCAGACCCGGGCAGACCCTGCAGCGCTGCCCTTGTAGGCACCCACATCCCTGCTCTGAGCAGGGAATGACGAACTCTTGCCACACAGGCAGGAAAGCTGCCTGGTTCATTATTGCTTATCTCCAACAGTTGTGCTGCAGTGCCCTGGGATTGCCTGTGTCACCCAGCGTCCTTCATTTGCACCGGCTCCCATCAAAGCAGTGACAAACGAGCGTTCCCCAGACTGAGCTTTCCCTTTCCAGCTCTCCCAGTGCCCAAGGGGACTCACCCAGCACGGGCCAGGCCCATGCTGAGAGCAGCCCCGGTGCTGGCTGCCCTACCTGCCCTGCTGGGCTAATGGGCTGGCCAGGAGTGACTCCTTAGGGAGATGAGCTGGGCCCTTTCCCTTTTCCACAGCCACTTTCCCTGTCTGGCCTGATGAAAGGGCAGAGCCATTGCCTAAACACCTTCTGTCCTGCCACCAACCCCACCAAACCAAATCCCCCCCTCTGCTGGGACAAGGACAGACACACCTGTGGCGTCTCACAGATCTTGTCTGCCTTACAAGATCTGTCCTCCTGCTGAGGACATTGGCTCCTGCTGCCCTCCCTTCCAGGCCACATGGAGATGGGGAGGACTCGGAGTCTGGAAAAGCAAGTGGAAAGAAAACAGGTTATTTTCTTCAGAGGGACAAACAAAGATAAAGGAGATGCTTTGAATTTTTGCACAGGTGAAGTATGTGGGGAGGCAACAAACGGAGTGTGGCCTGAGGTTGCTCCCAGGAAGCAGAGAATAGACATCAGATTTTAAACTAAACCAAGGAAGTGTCATATTAAACAGTGCCCTGGGAAGCTGTGCTAGGAATCAATCCTTCCTTCCTTCCTTCCTTCCTTCCTTCCTTCCTTCCTTCCTTCCTTCCTTCCTTCCTTCCTTCCTTCCTCCCTCCCTCCCTCCCTCCCTCCCTCCCTCCTTTTCTGTGATTTCCTGGGTTTCACAGAAGAAAATCCCAAAGCTGTGGGGCCGTTGGCACCCAGGTCACACAGCCAGGCTTGGGGAGGTCAGAAGCCCCTGTGCAATTCCATAGGGATGCCTGGATTACAGTGGACAGTTGCCTGCTGCAATCTGTACTTCACAATGGACACACCTGTGGCTTTACAGGGCTCTACCTGCTCTGATTTCAGGTGTGCCTGGCTGGGATTTGGGTGAGGAGTCAGAGCTGTGGTGTGACAGGGAGAAGCCTGGGCACACCGTGTCCTTAATCCACCAAAGGTTTGCTCCTGTGTGATCACTGTGCAGTGAATGCCTGGCTCTCAGGTTTTTCTTTTGGGGAATAAATTCCAGGCTCAGAATTTAGAAGGAATGACCCAGAAGCTCTTTTGAAGCCCAAAGCAGTCAGCCCAGTGGTCGGACATGCACTGATGTAACTCAGTAATTTTTGTTGTATTATTGTGTTGTAACCCCTGCTTTTTGTTGTGTTACTGAGTCTGTTCCGCAGACACAGGGAGCACTGTCCTGCTCTAGGGCCGGGGTGCACCCTGTCTCAGAGACAGGCAGCAGGAAGGCTCGAGAGGGGAAGGGAGGTGGATTTCCTAAGGAGAGAGAGAGGGATCTTTAAGTGTCTGATGATCAGGGTAGGCTGGGACAGCCCTGAAATTCAAACTGCTGCCCGACCCTCCCAAAGAGAGCCATCAGGATGCTATTTTATCTCGGAGCTTAAAAATAGCACATGGTACAAGCAGTTGTTCTGGATCTGCCTTTCATCAGGACACGGGATTTCCCCTTACCGGCTCCAGCCCTGGAAAGGTACCCAGGCTCGGGAGGGTGGGAGAGGGTGGGCAGAGGCTGCAGCTGAACCCTGCCTGGATGGGGTGTGTCCCCTCCCACATCTCATGCCAAGGGTGTTTCCTCCCTCCAGTGACCAGACATGAGCCACACCTATTTTTGTTTTAATTTAGTCACCGTGCTTTGATTTGCTTATCTGGCAGGCCAGCGTGTCCCATATTTTCATGATTTAGTAGCTCTGCAGCTCCCTCTGGGCAGATGGGTGACACAGAGCCCTCGGGGACATGCAGGAGCCTGGCTGTCAACAGGCAGGGGACAGTGTCCCTCCCTTCTGCCCGGGTTCACTCCCAAAGCTCGCTGTAATGGTTTCTCCCTGAAGAGCGAGGCTGGATGTTCCTCCCACGTGCTTGCTGACCCTGCAGCAACCCAGTGTCACCTCACACTTGTCCCAGGTAGTTACAGCCAAATGGTTCCACTGAGGGCAAACAATGGAGCTGACAGTGGTGGTGGATGAGGGAACAGTGATGGATGAGGTGACAGTGGTGGTGGATGAGGGAACAGTGACCTGTGTCACCCACCTGGACTTGCACAAAGTGTTTGACTGTCCCGCACCACGTCCTTGTCCCCAAACTGAGGGACAGGGATTGCCTGGATGGACCACTCGGGGGATGAGGAAGGGGCTGCATGGTCACACTCAGCTGTGGTCACTGGCTCGGTGTATGAGTGCAGAGCAGTGACAAGAGGGACACTCAGGAGTTGGGAGCTCCAGGGCCTGAAGGGGCTCCAGGAGAGCTGGAGAGGGACTGGGGACAAGGGATGGAGGGACAGGACACAGGGAATGGCTTTAAACTGAAGGAGGGTAGATGTGAGGATGGGCAGGCCCTGGCACAAGGTGACCAGAGCAGCTGTTCCTGGATCCCTGGCAGTGCCCAAGGCCAGGTTGGACAGGGCTTGGAGCAGCTTGAGACAGTGGAAGTGTCCATGCCAGGGGTGGCACTGGATGATCCTTAAGGTCGGTTCCAACCGAAGCCAGTCTGTGATTCTGTGACTCTGCAGCTGTGCCTGCTGTAAAAACACACCCCTTCATCCCTCACCGTCCTGCTATCTACACTTCATCCCTTTATCCTGTTTTCCTGCCCTCCTGCATGTGCAGAGGGCTGCCTTTCTGGGCCAGAAGGGCCACGGAGGATTAGGAGCAGCAGCACGAGTGGTCCCTGCTGTTCGGCCACCTGGAGGGGCGGCTGGGCGCTCCATCTGTCCCTGGGCCCGGCTCTGTCAGCAGCCTCCTTCAGCTCCCTCACGGCCACGCGTGCTGTGCCACACGGGCGTGCACACGCTCCCAGGGCTTCCTCTCCCGCTTTAAATATCGCCCTTTCCTGCCCACGTCACCCTTCCCAAAGCTGGGATCTCCTTCATGTCCTCAGCCCCGCTCAGCTGTGTCCCCTCAGCCGTGTCCCCTTAGCTGCTGTCTCCCTTCACCCTCACTCAGCCATGCCCCTTCAGCTCCTGTCTCCCCTCAGCCCCATTCCCTCAGCTCCTCCGTCCCCTCAGTTCCTCTCTTCCCTCAGCCCCATCCCCTCAGCTCCCTTCTCCCTTCAGCTCCTCCGTCCCCTCAGCTCCTCTGTCCCCGTCCCCTCGTGCCCGTCCTCCATCGCCGCCCCTTGGCCCCACCCCCGCCCCGCCTCCCACCACTGACCCCGCCCCCAGCCCCGCCCCGCGCCGCACCCAACCGCTCTGTCCGTTCACCGCAACGCCGCCTCCGCCCCGCGCGGCCGCGCGCCGCCCGCGCTCACGCTGATTGGTCGGCGCCGGGCGCGGCGCGGCGCTGATTGGCCGGGCGGCGCGAGCCCCGCCCCCCCAGCCAGCAGGGTAGTGCGCTCGGCGCGCGGCCAGCGCGGCTCCGCTCCCTGCTCCTCCTCCTGCCGGGCCCGCAGGGGACAGCGACATTCACCAGGCGCCTCCGTCCCGGCGCTGCCCCGCGCCCCCGCCGCTCGGTAAGGCCGCGGGGAGGGGGCTGCGGCCGGGGACGGGGCGCGGGGACACCGCGCTGCGGGCGCGGCGCCCTCCGACGCGTTGGAGGGGCGGCCCGGGCCGAGCGGGGGCTCCGGCCTCGCCGCTGTCCGGGGGGCCGGGGCCGAGCGGGCCGGGCCGGGCCGGGAGGCGGCCGGGGCTGCGGTGCTTGGGAGCCGCGCGGGGAGCGGCCGCAGCATCCCCGAGCATCTCCCGGGGGAGCCGGCGGAGGGAGCGGGCGCTGCCGGGGCGCGGCTTTGTTGCTCGGGGGCAGCGGCGGGGCTGGCTGCGGGGGTCGGGGGGGCCCCGGGCGTTGCCCGGCCTTGCTCCCGCAGGGTCCCTTCGGGCCCGGCTGCCCCGGGCGCACGGAGCCGCGCGTTTCGCTCAAGGGCGGCGCAGCGGTTCCGCACTTCTCCTCGGGACGGCTGGAAAGTTTCCGTGCCGCCTTGGCGCCCCGTGCCGCCCCGCCGGCCGCCGCGGGTCCCTCGGTGCCGGCTTTATAAGGAGGGCGGCGGGCTCGCAGCGGGCTGGGGACGGTGATGAGCATGGGCAGAGCGCGGCTCGGAGCGCTGGGTGTGGCGGCCGGGATGCGCCAGGCTCCAGCCAGGCCTCTGCTCAGTCATCGCCCCGCAGCCCGGCCGCAGAGCGAGCGGGGCCGCTTTCGGGATGAGCAAACTTCTCCTGCCGAGCTCGGCGTACGGGAATTAAACAAATGCTCGCCACGGCGCCATGCGGGGCTGCTGTTAATAAGTTTGAGCTCACGGCGGTGAAATTTTGGGTTCTGCAGATGCTGTTCTGCTGCCAAAAGCTACTTCTAAGTGGATCCTGGTAGTATGAGTGTTGTAGGCTCTGCCTCTCTTCGAGGGGTGTGTTAAAAGCCTGCTCTGTGAACATACCGAACTTGAATTTAGAGGTTTAGTTCTCTTTTCTTTAGGTCGTTCTTGATCTCTCCTTCTCGGTGGTTTCCTCGGTTATTTCCTTCCCCTGATTCCTGTATGGATTTAGCAGATTTACCCATTGATTTTAGAGCTTTTAAAGAAGTTTTTATTTATTTTTCAAGCTGGAATCATCTATTCAGTGAACCATGTTCTTCCCAGTTTATAATTCCAACTGGAAGGCTTCTTGAATAATACAATAGGCACCCAAGTCCTGCTCAGAGTTTCAGTGTGGAGTAACAAGCCTTGCTGGGGCCTCCTCCTGCTCTGTGTGATGCTGCTGTGGCTTCATTTTGTAAACTGCAGGGACAGGACTGCTCTGGAGTTTTACAACTCTAAGGCTTCTTTTCTCCTTGCCAGGCCCTGATGTCCCATGTGGTGTGTTTTGCTGGTATTGTATCTATAAGGTGCTGTTGCAGCTTGATGAACTCCTCCTTTATTTGAGAAAGAGAGATTGTAACTCAGAATTATTCAGGTTGACAATACAGTTATGACAAAGGTGACATTGGCTGTACAGACCTGTCTGTCAAATTCACTTTAGGGGCTTTTGTTTGTTTTTCTTTGTGAGAAGCAATGACGTTTCTGATTATCCTTCCAGATGCATTTTGCAGGATTCACGGGCTCTTTTGAAGTTTTAAATTTTTTTATTCTTTTGTGCCTTCTTGCATCAGAAGAGATGGGCTTTTTCAGTTTGAAAAAGAGCTTAACTTACTTGCTGTTGCAACAGCAGCAATATCCTGTGTCTTTTGTTTTGTTTGGTAATAATTACATGTTAGTGACAAATAATAAGCTTGAAGCAGAATAGCTGATCTGTTTGTGACTGTGATTGTTGACTCTGAAGCTGAAGGCCATGGATATTATTAAATCTGTTTTTATGTGTCTCTGCAGAAATGACATCAGGGAAAGATCAGCTAATACAAAGAAGTGTCAGTGGTTTGAAGATGCCAGCCTGGGGAGTTCAGCTAGAGCCCAGTGTTGCCATGGGTACAGTTTGTGGGTCACCCTGGTTCCCCCAGCTGATATTAGGAGAGGATTATGTCACTCCTGCCCTTAAAGAACAAACGGGGAGGCTGCTGGAGGACACTTATGGCAGCAGACCCTGGCTTTATCAGCCTGTTCCTCCAAGGCAGGGCCGTGCCAGGCACTGTCCTGTGCTGGCCAGGGGTGCCAGGCAGGCTCCCAGGAGTGGGGACACCGTGGCACACCGGGGCTCCTCTCTGCCAGCTGCAGCACATCTGGAGGTGTGCTCCAGCGAGCTGCCTGATTTGGCTGTGGGTGCTGTGGGAAGTGAGGAGAGCAGCCCTGTGTGGGGGTGAATAATCTCACCAGAGGCTCCCAGGCACTGCTGGAACCAGCCTGGAGTTCCCTGGTGAGTGTCACTTACAGGTGGCAGTACTAATTGTGAACTCTTGGGGTTCAGTGCATTCCTCTGTTCCCTCCCAGGGACACCAGGCAGTTTAAGGCAAGGTTTGAAGCAGCAGAGCATTGCCCAGCCTGCTCTGTGATGGTATCAGACACCCCCACGCCCCCAGCAGCCTGAGCAGCAGTGAGAACAGAAGCAAATTGGGTTTTGGAGGGGCAGAAGGTGAGGCTGAGTGGAGGCTGGGGCAGGGCTGGATTTCCAGCCTTAAGCTCGTTATGTGCAGTCTGAGGAGTGCTCACTTGGACCAGATGAATTACGTATTCCTGCTGGTAAAAGGGCTGACACAGCTGTAATTTCAGCCAATGGAGCTGTAATTATATTTGAGGTTCCAACCCTTGTAGTATTTCAGTGGTTGTCTGTTTTCCCTAGAAATAAATGAATCTGAGCCACTCAGCTCTGAGTTGTGGCAGAGTTCAGGTCTGGTTCACACCCATTGCAGGTTCTTGCCCTTGTGTTCCTCAGGCTTAAACTCTCCTGCTGTTTGCTGAGCCAGCGATGTCTCCATTGCTCAGTTCTTGGGCTGCATTTGTCTCTCTGCACCGTGTCTTGATGTGCAAGCTTCCAAATTCTGACCTACACCAAAGTTATGACTCAGGGAAACCACTGGTCAGACAGGGTTCAGGTCTGTCAGGGTGAATTCAAGCTACTTGCAATTCAAATGAACGTGATGGTTACTTGAAAGCGAAATAATGTGTGACTGTACCTCGGTTTGGTCCAGAAAAAACCCAAATAATTTATTTTGCTAGGCCAGACATAGATTGGAAGATAAAATTCCAGCTTCCTCCGCTGAGAATGAAGAGTTCAAGGCGTGTTACTCATCGTGTTGTTGCGAGTCAGACTGCAGACAACAAAATTATAATTTGTGTAGGTACCTGTGGAGTTTCAAAGGCAAATTGAAGAAGCTGATAGTGCTCTGAAAGGCAGAGTTATTTCCTGGAACTCTTGAGTTTGTGCTTCCTGTCTCAAATGAAGCAGATGAAACTCTTGCTTAGTCAAATTTCTGTGTCCACAGCTTCCTCGTGCTTTAACAGCAAGTGAACTGATTATTTCTGTGCTTGCTTTCTTTCCTCCTTGAAGGCAAATGGAATTATAGCCAGCTGTAGATGAGAGCAGCCAGGGGTCTGTGATTACAGCCCGTGGGAGGGGGCAGAGAGCTCCAGCCTTGAGCCGGAGCCACCGGAGCGGCATCATCCCCACAGGGTTCATCTCCAGGAGGAGGGTGCATGTCCTCTGGAGCAGGTTCCTGGGAGATGCTGGAGAAGCTGGGCTAGCAGAGCAGGTAGGACCCCTGCCTCCCGTGGGGATTTGTCCTCCTACACCTCAGAGAGCAGTTCCATGGCTCAGTGTTGCGCACAGGGGAAGGAATTTCTCGTGGGAAGAAAAGGTCAGTGAAATCAGTTGCTGTAGATGTTATGCAGATTTTAACTTGGTAGTGAGAAGAATGAAATCCTTGTGGCTCACACTGGTGCCCTGTGTTGCTCTGGGTTCTTAATATTGCGTTAGAAATTATTAAATATGAAATTTACTTTAAATTATTGTGAAATCTGACCCTGAAGGATTATTAGCAGACATTGGTGTGATGCTCTAGCACTCTTAAAAGTGACATCAGGATAGTGCTGAGGATTTGCCCCAAACAAGATCAGCCTTGGACTCCTCTGAGTAAATTACTCATTTTTGTATGTTGCCATAAGAGCCCATATTTTGGAGTGCTGGAGAGCAAAACTTTTTGCAGTTGCTGCTGTAGAAAACCTGTGAGACACTGAGTTAATGGGAAGTGTAGGTTACTCCCAGGATAAAAATGGCTGTGCACGTAAATGATGGTGTATTCCACCTCCAGAATGCACATTGTTCCCTGGAACTGTCTGCTGGGTTATTTATTCTGTGCTCCCCTGGAGACAGGGAGGGAAGGGGCTGATTTCTTCCCTCTCTCTCAGAAAAGGCTGCTCCTTGCTGCCTTGTTTTATTTTACTCCGTGCCTCTTAGAGCTTTCCTCGGGTCGAGTGGCAACTGCTGAATGGGTGGTTCCTCCAGGGAGTAGCGAGATAGCAGCGCTGAGATAAAGCTCACAGTGTCCCTGTGATTTGAACAAAACTGGCAGACGAAAACAAGAGTTGTAGTCGTGTTATCGAGGGAGGTTTGTGTAACACAACAGGCCCTGGATTAGCTTTCCTCTGCCAAGGTTGGATTTCCAGCCTCCTGGAGCTGGAGCTGCCCTGGTGAAGGGAGTTTAACACTGTCCCCTGCCCAAAAGGAGCACGTTGGCAGGCTGGAATGGTGGCTGTGTGGGTGGGAGCAGGGTTCAGCCCCAGGTGTACCTGAGCAGGTGACAGGTGACGTGCCACCCAGGTGTAGCTGTGGATTAAGGTGGGATGAGCAGCCCTGGCTGCGTGCTGGCTATCAGGCCGCTCCGAGGAGCTTCTGGGACAAGTATGCAGTTAATCACATCCATTAGCATGACTGAAATCCTGATTAGCCCGTGTCACTCACTCCCATTTTCCTCCTACACTTCGCCCCTTTTTATCGGGGGTGTTTGCAGCTGTGAGCAGCAGCAGGCTGGGAGCTGTGAATGGATCCCGGGGTTGTGGGAGCTGGGAATGGATCCCGGGACTGTGGGAGCTGGGAATGG